AAGGGAAAACTAAAAAAAAAAAAAAAAAAAAAAAAAAGCCAAAAAAGTCAATATATAAGCAAACACGTTTAAAAAACTTGAGAGAAAGTCCGAAAGGGAAAACCCAAAAAAAAATCACATTTGTTAGCGGTAGGCTTAGACTATTCCAGCTTCTTAGACCCGAACATAAGAAGATATTGTATAGATACATGGAGAAATTATCTTTGGGTTTCTTAGAATCAAAGCAACAGTAAAAAAAAAAAAAAAACATATCTTTGGGTATAAACAGCTTCCACCGAGTTGAATTCCTAAACTTTGAACCTTTTTTTTTTTTTTGTTTTTTCCTTATGAAAACATGTGAACTGCACAGATCCTGTTGTTGTACCTGCACTTTCCCTATCCAAAATGAACACAAACGTGTCAGCCTACAGACAGCACCAAAAGCGGAGCCTCCAACATGTGAAGTACACAAAGTCGGGCAATATGGCAACACGATTCTTCTCAATGATCCATTCAAATAAGACGTGTTCCCACACATCTGAACACCTCCAAATTTATTATTCAATTTCTCTGTCTTCTCATCCCTTCATTCATTCCTTCTCTCTTACTTAATAAATCCATGATTTCATTCCTTGAATCCTCAAGGAACTCTCTTAGCAACTTCCAAAATGTTAATCTTAATCCAACCCTCTCTCTCTTTTGATTATACTTAACCATGGTTAGTTGTTGTAAAGGTCGTGAATTTATGAAATTTATGTGAGGTTGGGAATTGGGAGTCTCTAGAATAATATGATATTGTCCACTTTGAACATAAACTCTCGTAGCTTTGCTTTGGACTTCTCCAAAAGGCATTAACGTGGGACCCCCTCCCAACGATTCTTAACCAGGGTGACGTTGCCTTATTGAAAATGGATGGGGTTGACCAACAGGCCCATCCATGCATGGAATGAAAATGACAGGAATAGCCTTGTCAAAGCTTCTACGAAGGCGAGGTGCAATTGCCAATGGCAGTCCGGTTGGGCAACCAGAGAGAGAGAGAGAGAGAGTCTTTTCTGTCGCTGCGCTGTCATATGCTGAACCGATCGCATCTCTCCATATCCCATATCCCAATTTCTCCGTATTTTCTTCTTTTCATCTTATAAATTGCATTTCCTCTGCACCCAATTGCACAATTCAAACCTCTCTGCTCTGTTTAATTGAGTTTAAATGGCGAGAAAGGGTGGTGGTGGTGGTGGTGGTGGTGGTTTCCACGATCTGCTGCCGGTAATGGCGGAGAAATTGGGAGGAGAAGGGCTGATAAACGAGCTCTGTAATGGGTTTCAGATGCTGATGGACAAGGAGAAGGGCGTGATCACTTTAGAGAGCCTTAGGAGAAACTCTTCCCTTTTGGGTTTGTGGGATATGGGAGAAGAGGAGCTTGTGAGCATGATGAGGGAAGGGGACTTGGATGGCGATGGCGCTTTGAATCAAATGGAGTTTTGCGTTTTGATGTTCAGATTAAGCCCTGAATTGATGGAAGAGTCTCTGTATTGGCTTGATGACGCTTTGGAAAAGGAGTTTAAAGCATCTTGATGCCTTTTCCTTGCGAACAAGAACAAGAACAAGCCACACCACGGCGGCCGGCCGCCATGGCTGGTGAGGAACAGGAAGCTTCTGGGTTTCCCATTTTCATGTCAAGTGTCGGTCGGTGTGGTGTATTCTATGTCGATTACTCCAAAATAGAAATGAATAAAGGCATGGCAAAGTGTTTGTTTTATTTGTTCTTCAATATTTTTACTTCTATTTTCTTAGTCAAGAAGTTTAGTTTGTAAATTATAAATGACCAAAATTAAAAAAGCTTGGGGAGAAAGATAAAGGTTGAATTAATTAAATAGTTGCATAAGAAGATGGAATGTGACCTTATTCAAATATTTTACAACTTTTTCGTCGCATAATTTGGATACCAATTAAGAGCATTTCGACTTTGGTTAAATGCAGCCATAGGTCCAAACTTCCAAAGTCATAAACTTGATGGTCCCCTCCTAAATGAATGTACCATCAATGTACTACCAGAATCATGGCGTTCATAACGTTCACAAAAGTTTATTTGAGTTGAATTTTTGTTAAAGTGAAAATTTTATAGGTTGATATTGTTCGCTTTGAGCATGAGCTCTCGTGGCTTTGCTTCAGGCTTCCCCTAAAAGTCTCGTACTAATGGAGAGAGTATTCTTTGTTTATGAACTCATGATAATTTCCTAAATTAGCCGATGTGGGACTTTCATCATCTAACACCTTCCCTCAAACAAAGTACGCCTCCCCTTAATCGAGGCTCGACTCCTTTGGAGTCTTAGTCATTTTTTACAAAGGCTTGACTCCTTTTCTTTTGGAGTTCTTTGTTTGACATCTGAGGATCTGATACCATGTTAGACGAACACGACTCTCCACAATGGTATGATATTGTCCACTTTGAGCATAAGCTCTCATGGCTTTGCTTTGGGCTTCCTCAAACTTAGTCATGTCAATAAAATCCTCAAATGTCGAACAAAAGTATTGTGAGCCTAAATTCTCAAATGTCGAACAAAAGTATTGTGAGCTTCGAAGGCATAGTAAAAAATGACTAAGACTCTGAAAAGAAAAAGGAGTCGAGCCTCGATTAAGGGAAGACATGAACAGAGGGAAAGTGTTGGATGAAAGTCCCACGTCGTCGACTAATTTAAGGAATGATCGTGGATTTATAATCCAAAAATATATTTTTATTTTATTTTTATTTAATTTTACAATTATTATAATTTATTCTCTTAATTATGTTTATTGATTTTTAAGTACTAACATTCTATTTTTAATAAAAACAAAAATATAAATAAATGAACTAATTCAATAAAAAATAAAAAATAAAACTAATTGTGAAAGAAAAGTTTTGTAATAGAATTGTAAGAATGGGAAAAATGGCTGTGTTGATCGGATGCAACTACCCAGGAACTAAGGCGGAGCTCAAAGGATGCATCAACGACGTCAATCGGATGCATCAGTGTCTGATCAACCGTTACGGCTTCTCCGACGACGACATCAACATCCTCATTGATACCGATGACTCCTACACCCAACCCACCGGCAAGAACATCCGCTCTGCCCTTTCCCGTCTCGTCAGATCCGCCGATCCAGGCGACTTTCTTTTCGTCCACTACAGCGGCCACGGCACTCGTCTCCCTGCCGAGACCGGCGAGGATGACGACACCGGCTACGACGAGTGCATTGCTCCCTGCGATATGAACCTCATCACTGGTCCGCCATTTCTCCTCTCTGTTCTATCTATACGTTTTGCCCTAATTTTCCCGATTTTTGGAATCTGATTAGGGTAATGCTTCAATTCCTTTCCATTTTCTTGTGCGAACAGATGACGATTTCAGGGAGTTGGTAGATCAGGTTCCGCAGGGATGCCGATTAACAATCGTATCGGATTCTTGCCACAGTGGTGGTCTTATTGACGATGCGGAGGAGCAAATAGGAGAGAGCACCAACACCAAATGCCATGAACAAGGACAAGGAAATAGCTCCCACTTTGGTTTCAGGAACTTTATGCATCAAAGCGTTGAAGGTGCTTTGGAATCACGAGGGATTCATGTTCCCTCGGCATTCCATCACCATCGCGATGATCGTCCGACGAACGAGGACGAATTGCAAGACAGAGAGGTGGAGCTTTCACATGGGGAGCGAGTCAATGTGAAGAGTAGATCGTTACCGCTCCCCACTCTTATAGACATTTTGAAGCAAAAAACTGGGAAGGATGACATTGATGTGGGGAAATTGAGGCCGACCCTTTTCGATTTATTTGGGGAAGATTCAAGCCCCAAGGTGAAGAAGTTTATGAAGGTGATCATGGACAAACTCCGGGGTGGTGGTGGTGGTGGTGGTGGTGGTGGTGGTGGTGACAAGGGACACTCTGGAGGAGAAGGGTTGTTTGGAATGGTTGGCAATTTGGCTCAAGAATTTCTGAAACAAAAGCTGGATGAGAAGGATGAAGAGTATGTGAAACCTGCGTTGAAAACTGAAGTGGGCTGTAAAACAGAGGCGTATGCTGGATCATCCAAGCGGACACTTCCCGATGGTGGGATCCTCATCAGTGGCTGCCAGACTGACCAAACATCGGCTGATGCCACGCCTTCTGGCAATGCCGCTGCCGCTTATGGAGCTCTTAGCAATGCCATTCAGACCATACTCAAGGAATCTGATGGGCCAATTACCAACCAGGAGCTTGTTTTGACGGCTCGGAAAATGCTGAAACGCCAAGGCTTCACTCAGAGACCTGGCCTCTACTGCAGTGATTGTCACGTCAATGCTCCCTTTGTTTGCTGATTTTTGTGCCTTGTGTTGCGTTTCCTGGAACTGGAAATGGCTTTAAAAATTAGTGTTTCTATGTGGGCATTGGGTTGGTCCTGTTGCTATAATGATTTTGGGCTGCGTTATAAATTGAAATAAAGGGTTGAACCTTACATTATTGAGATTTGAACTTCCATGGGTGAGAACAAGGGATGGGATTTAAACTGCTTAGACGCACCACCACGATATCTAAATATGATTAAGGCTAACAAAACTTCGAAGCCACTTGAGTTACTATTGAGTGCATGATCGGGACAAGGCTAATGTTGTGATCCCGTTAAACCACTCTAAAAAAGAGACTAAGGACTATATGGGTAGTTAGCTCAAGCTAAGGACTCCTATTGTGTGTACACAAATGGGTCTAGGCTCGAAACCTGCCTTGAGATAATGTGGGACTACATGAGTAGGTAACATGATAAACCACTTAAATAAGGGATGACCTGTAAAATATAAGTAGATAAGTTCAAATAGGGAGGACGTGTAATCGTGCCTTGATAGTGGACGAGAGACTACATGAGAAAGTGACAATTATGTGTAAAATACCAAAAGGTGTTATTCATGTTCAAGCAAGTTTCAACAATACAATTGTGACTGTTACAGGTGTACGAGATGTACGGGGTCAGAGTAATTTCTTGGTCCCATACTTGTGGATTTAAAGGTCTATGGTCCATTTCTTGGTCTCATACTTGTGGATTTAAAGGTCTATGGTCCTCCACAGATACTTGTGAATTTAAAGGTTGTTACTGATGTACGGGGTCCGAGTAATTTCTTGGTCCTCCACTGATACTTGTGGATTTAAAAGTCTATGGTCCTGGTCCTCCACTGATACTTGTGGATTTAAAAGTCTATGGTCCTGGTCCTCCTCTGATACTTGTCTTATTATAATTTTTATTTTAGATTTAATTTTGATATTAATTCATTTTATTTCAGACTAAATTTTACACAATTTTCTAGTTAGGATACATTTATTATTTGCACCAATGTTAGAGTCTATTTATTACTTGATAAAATCAATTATTGCATATTGCACAAAAATAGCCACAAAAAAAGATTTACTGTTATTTTGTTTGACCCCATGCATTTAATGTTGGCATTGACGGGCATTTAATAATTTTATATAACCCCAAAAATAAAATGAAATACATTGTAATGAATCTTTTTAATAGCTTTTTATATTTAACTTAGATAATATCCTATATCATTGTCCAACTAGCTAGTTTGTAACTATTCAAGTCCGATTTTACTGCCATTAGATATTGTCTTTTTTTTTTTTGGTACTCTTTAAAAAAAATTAAAACGTATCTGCTAAAGAGAAATTTTCATAGTACGAATGTTTTGTTTTTCTCACCAACTGATGTGTGATCTCACAATCTACTCTCTTCAGGATTTGGCGTGACACCTCTCTCCAATGTGGAATCTCACAAAAAAAAAACAATATCTACTAGCAGTGACATGGACTATTACACAGTTCTATCACGTCCTCCGTGCATAGAAATAAAATAAATAGGGAAAGAGGAACAGATTATTACTTCTCTGCAACCAAAAAAGCTTCAAAACCTACAAAAATGGCACACGTTGATGAAATCTCATCGGATGAGAGAGATAAGCAAGCATTACAGCATATTGAAGATGTTACGATCCATGCCAGCCAAATCCAACGACAAATCCTAACTCAAATTCTGTCAACAAATGCCGATGTCGAATACTTGCAACAACATGGCCTCCATGGCTCTACCGAGCTTTCAACCTTCAAGAACCTTATACCTCTCATCTCATACGAACAATTAAGACCTTATATAGATCGTATAGCCAACGGCGATGATTCCCCAATCCTATGCACAAACCCCATCACAGAGTTCTTTATAAGGTACACTTCTTATTCTCTTGATGCGTTTCAATTTCATGCCTAAAATCAATGGTTTCTTGTAGCTCTGGGACATCTGGTGGAGAGCCCAAGTTGATTCCAATGTATGAAGAAGAGTTTATGAGAAGGCTATCATTTTTTGACTATGTGATGCCAAGAATGAAGCAGCTGTTTCCAAATAGTTTGGTGGGCAAAGGCAAAGGAATGCACTTTCAGTTTGCAAAGGTTGAGTTAAAGACAAGATCTGGGATTGTTGCTCACACTGCAACTACTAGTTTGTGCAAGAGAGCAAACCTCAATAATACAAGTCCTAAAGACATCATTCTCTGCACAGACACCAACCAAAGCCTGTACTGTCAGTTGCTTTGTGGGCTGTGCCAGAACGACATAGTGTTTCGAGTTGGTGCTCTGTTTGCCTCAACCTTAATCCATGTCCTTAAATTCCTCGAAGATCATTGGGTTGTTTTGGCTAGTGATATAAGAGCAGGAACCTTGAACACAAAAATTACAGACCCATCAGTGAGAGAAGCTGTTATGAACATTCTAAACCCCAATGCTCAACTTGCGGATTTTATTGAAGCTGAATGTAGCAAAGGAACATGGGAAGGAATCATTACAAGGCTATGGCCGAACGCCAAATACATTAATGCTATTGTGACAGGAAGCATGGCACAGTACCTTCCCAAGCTAAATTACTACAGTAATCACCTTCCTATTGTTTCTGACCATTATGGTGCTTCAGAATGCTTCCTTGGGTTAAACTTAGATCCATTGTGTAGTCCTGATCGAACCTCCTACACTTTAATTCCGACCATGGCATATTTCGAGTTCCTGCCGATCGACAGGACGAAATCCAGTAGAGAATTAAGCCGAGAATTAGTTGATCTTGTTGATGTCAAGTTAGGACATGAATATGAGCTCGTCATCACTACTTATGCTGGCAAGTCTGTCTGTCTTCTTCTTTTCAATATTGTACTTGGGGAGTTCTGATTTAGTTCATGTATAATTTACTGTTGCAGGGCTCTACCGTTATCGCATGGGGGACATTCTTGGTGTGACAGGATTTAAGAACAAAGCCCCAAATTTTAGTTTTGTATGCAGGAAAAACGTGGTTTTGAGCCTTGATATTGAGAAAACAGATGAAGCAGAGCTTCATGATGCTGTACAAGAAGCAGCTCGTCTTTTGAGCCCATTTGGGGCGGCCATTGCTGACTACACTAGCCATGCGGATAGCTCCAAGATTCCTGGACACTATGTGTTGTACTGGGAAATTCACGTTAAGGGGGGAATTTCTATTCCATCCTCAATCTATGAGGATTGCTGCTTCGCCATTGAAGAGTTACTTAATGGACCATACCGCTATCTACGATCTCATGAGAAGTGTATCAATCCATTGGAGATAAAGATTGTAAAGGTTGGAACTTTTGAGAAACTCATGGCCCAGGCACTGAATCGAGGGGCTTCAATGAGCCAATACAAGACGCCTCGATGTGTAAATTCTACGCACATCATTGAGCTTTTGGACTCAAACGTTGTTATCAAATACTTCAGTAAAAAATGCCCAAAAGTGGATACCAAGGCTCTGCACCGTCTTCTTTCCTAGTAGTTCTTGGTGCAAGTAAATTAATTCAGCTTGTTCTTCATGTATTTTCAAGTTTCTGAGTTGAGATTGTCATAAGTTTTTCATCTGGTTTGCTTTGTTCTTGAAATAACAACTGGGTTTTGTTTTTTTGAATGGTCAATTTCATTCCATGGCATGCGATGACACTTCCACGTGCTTTTGACAATCTAAATCTCAAATAAAGTTAAAAGATAAGAAGATAATAGTCTACACATGTGGATGGGATAAGAACGAGACTTTTTAAAGATAGAAGAATCAAAGAGAAACACATCTCTGTTTCAAAGAGAAAGACGATCTTCTAATAAGTTTCCAAGGGCTTGTCATAGGGCTCTAAGAAGTTTGAATCCAGTTCAGGAATCTCGTGACTGTTACGTCACACCATATGCTTATCCTTAGACTTTCGATGTATCTGATTAGAGCACAGAAATATGAACCACTAAAACAAATTAAACATAAAGCATCTACATGGATCATTCCACAAGTAACAAGCACACATATCAGAGTTCAATCTACCCTCCAATACAACCCTACCTCTATCACTAGGAAGGAATGGTTCAATTAGAAAAGTTCTAGTGGTCTCAATATTTCACCCCCACTTCATCTTTCCTAGAACCCTACATGTACTTATGACGGACAGAGAAAAAAAATTACAATCAGCTCTACCTCCCACATATACTTGTACACAGAAGGAAAATTACATCAATTGTCCAAAAAAATCGATCCCTGGCCTCGATTCTCCAATTCATAAACTTTACAATGGTCAAAGGCTATAGCTGGCTACACATCTTCGGCTGCACCTTCCTCAGAGTGATCTGATGTTATTGTGGACTCGTAACTCAGACTAAGTGAAGTTGACCCTAAAGAAGAGATTGAAGACCTCTTGATTTCAGGAGAAGGAGATTCCTTTGTTGGTGGTGATTCTTTTTCTTTTAGCAAGGTTGGAATTGAGATATTGGGAAAATTCAGGCGAGCTGAAGTCCCATACATGGCCCTTGCAGCTTCATCATAAGCAAGTGCCGCATCAATGGCAGTTGGAAATGTACCTAACCACAGCCGACTTCCCCTTTTTGGTGCCCGAATTTCTGCAACCCATTTCCCCCATGTCCTTTGCCTAACTCCTCTGTAATTACATCGCATATTCTCTGGCCCTCCCTTACCTTTCATGCAGCCTTTCTTCGATCCCTTGGCTGGAACTCTACGAGTGAGTTTCGCCTCATCAGTACATGAGTCGAGGTGATCGTTGTAATCTTTCCATTTTGCAAGAGTCTCTGCCACGGATAAAGATCCAGGCCTTCTAGTTTGTAATTTTTCTAATTTAGGCATCCAAGAATTAAATAGATTGGACTGAACAAATAAGAAAGACCACAAAGAACCTGTCACCATTATAAGATGATTTCAATTTTCATACTATAAGCAATCAATCAAATGCACAAATAAAGCAAAATCGGTAGACAAATAATTTTCCAGGCCATATGTGCATCATGACTACAGAGCACGTGTATGTGATGCAAATAAACGGGAACGGAAAAAAAAACTCCCATGAAGTTTCTTCGTTTGTTCCATCATCAACCCTATCTGCATTTCTATGATGACCCAAGGACATGCTCATTCTTTAGCAATAGAGAAACTTTTGAATTTAAAGGTAACATTACAATCCCAATATGTACGTTTTGCTATTCCTTAAAATAACTAAGTTCCAAATCATTCAATTGTCCCATTCTAACACCTCGTGCTATGGATGTGTACCCAACAAATTTCAGTCGAGTCTAAACGGAAAAAAGGGCATGATAGAACCCAAATGTATTGGAAAATGAAAGATAATGGAATTACAAACTAACTCCCCCAAGTATTTGAGGTATTACGAACCTCCCCTTTCGATATATCTCTCAAGTCCTAATTCACTCACAAAAATAAATGCCTACCATCCACCTAGCCCACTTCCTCTATTTATGAAGACCCCATAACAACGCCCCTATCTAGTGATATCCTAAAAGTACCAAAATTGTATTCCTATCAGGGGATTGCTGCCGCCCAATGCTCGTTGAAAATACAACAGTCGCACATCATGAAGGTGACCGCCGCTAATGTGGCAAAATGCTATGAACATAATTTTTAACTTTTCACTCATTACTGTACTCCATACTAACTGATTCCTAAATTAAATTATGTTGACTGCAACTACAGCGCTTCAGAAAAGGAACAGAACAAAATAAAACGAAGTTAAATTGTGCACAAGATTCATGTTCCCCACCAAATTGAACTGGTGCTTCGTGTATATTGCAGTAAACAAGCTGATCCCAGTCCCAGCTATAATTTCACTATGTCAAGAACTAACGACCAAGTGGAAGTTGACATTGACACCCGGGCTACAGGACACATTTATCAAGTCACTTAATCCTCAAAATTGTAAAAGAAACACTACCCAGTAGCGTTTTCTTTCATTAAAACATGTAATAGTGAATCCGTACGATTAACTTCTAAAAAAAAATGAAACCAGTTGGAAACTGCCGGTAGGCGTAGATTCTAAAAACACCTTTAAAAAATGCAAACGGAAATGAAAACGATGGCATCTATAATTAAAGAGGAAGGACATGTTGAGGATTATTGGGATTGGGAGTGTCCCACATTGGTTAATTTAGTGGAAGATCATGGGTTTATAAGGGAGGAATACTATCTTCATTGGTATGAGGCCTTTTGGGGAAGCCCAAAGCAAAGCCATGAGAGCTTATGCTCAAAGTGGACAATATCATACCATTGTGGAGAGTCGTGATTCCTAACATGGTATCAGAGCCATGCCCTAAACCTAACCATGCCAATAGAATCCTCAAATATCGAACAAAGAATGGCGAGCCTCGAAGGTGTAGTCAAAAGTGACTAAAGTGTCGAACAAATGGTGTACTTTGTTCGAGGGCTCCAGAGAAGGAGTCGAGCCTCAATTAAGGGGAGGCTATTCGAGGCTCCATAAGCCTCAGGGGAGGCTTATAGTGTGCTTTGTTCGAGGGGAGGATTGTTGAGGATTATTGGGATTGGGAGTGTCCCACATTGGTTAATTTAGTGGAAGATCATGGGTTTATAAGTGAGGAATACTATCTTCATTGGTATGAGGCCTTTTGGGGAAGCCCAAAGCAAAGCCATGAGAGCTTATGCTCAAAGTGGACAATATCATACCATTGTGGAGAGTCGTGATTCCTAACAGGACAATCCCCCTTGCATACATTAGTAATCCATGCCTGCAAAGTCAAAACACCATTTGATTTTTACGACCTCTTTTCAACCCAGGATCGCATTTCACAAACCCTTGAGCTCAACCACAAGCTTCAAGAAAAGAAAAAAGGGGGGAAAACAACATAAAATGCATAAATTCCACAATCTGCTGATCTCTTAAACTTTGCACAACAGAAGTCAACAGAAAGGCCCACTTTTCATTTCACAGTGATGAACAAAGCAGCCACTATTTTGAAGCTAAAAAGAATCAGAATTTTTGTAAAAAAAAAAGCGAGAAAATTACCTCCTTTTCTGCGGTGAGAAGAAGTTCCTAAATTTGCGACGTCGAACAAAGGAAAGACATTCCGATTCTAAAGTGCCAGCCAGAGACAAAAGACGGTCGCGTTGACGACTACAAAGCGGACGAACGGGGAACCCTAGGCCCCAAAAGTACCACTTCCAATTAAATTAACAGATCTACTTGTGAATTGTGAATTTTGTTATTTATTGTATGGGCCGGTTGATCCAAGGCCCAATTAACTTTTCAAAATAAGACAACTAATTTTCCATATTTTAATTAAAAAAAAAAAAGTGGATAACAATATTCCTCCCTTTCTAAACACATGATATTAGGCTTTATATCAATGAAAGATAATTTTCTTCATTTATAAACTCATGATCTTCCACTAAATTAACCAATGCGGGACTCACTCTCAATAATCCTTAAAAATCTTCCTCCTGAACAGAGTACACTATAAACTTCCCCGAGACTTATGGAGCTGTAATGGTGGTGGTCTAGTCTTCTATATCTTCATTTCGAAATACCTTATTATCTCTAAAAAAACAAAATTAAACATGCACAAATCAATTGAAATTTATACCGACCATATATTTACATCTAATAATAATATTTTAACGACGGTAATTAATTGATTTTGATTTCAAATCTATGCTAATAATAATTGCTATCAACATGATAGATTTTATGTCCCTAATTATTTTGAGATGGTGACGTTTCACTTGTTTGTTTGTTTTTTGCTTCTATGTGTCGAAAAAGTTTACATCATATCACCGAACGCAAAAATTCTACGGGTCTCGTGATCATCGGGCCCCACAAGGATAAAAAATGCTAATCATTTCATACATTAAACCATCATTGCTTCAGATTACATTATGGCCATCATAAAATTCAAAAGCAAAACATGGAGCACATGTTTCTTCTTCTTCTTGGTAAGCACTGTCCCATTTCTTCCATCACCAATGGCGGTGGGAGTGATGAACGCACTCAGCAGGAGTAACAGGAAACCGCGCACTGTCCGTACAATAGTCATACACCATATGCCTGGCCCGAACCCAAACCAGCTGATGGCTTTGGTGCAGATTCAGCTCAGACATTGTCGGCTCGTCCCACCAATACTTCTTCTCCCCATCGCTGCTACACTTCCGAGCAACATCCGCCGTCGCAACCGTCGTCGGACACTCGCAGCCGTCGATCTCAAAGCCTTTGTACGATGCTATGAACGGCGCATGGGCCCAATTTGTCTTCACCCGACCACCCTGCGTCGCCCAATCATCGGCGTTCCATATTGAACTATATACACCCATGGCTTGATCCTTCGGAAAGGGTATGCCTCTGTGCTCCAAATTCATATGAACTCTGATCGGAGTTTCATCTACGAGGAAACTGACCAAAATTCACAAAGAAACAAAAAATCATCAAAATGCACGAAATTCAATGCCCCTTTTTTCATGGAACCGAAATTTGTTCTGTTTTGCTCTGTTTTTCTCTGTTTTGCTCTGTTTTGTAGCGAGTGACCCCATCCCCGACACAAACATCCAAAAGCAAAAATGGTCCACCCCGACATTGTCGAGCAGAGACCATAAAACATGGGCCAAGGAAGATTGCTTACATGACTTGTCGACGATTCCAGAAGATGGAATAGGAGTGAAAGTCCTTGGTTG